AAAATGCACTGGCTTCAATTCCCCCCCCTGAGTTAGCCTTCCAGTTTATTTATAGTTCACTGGTGCTACAATGTTGGATAAACTGGTTGAACCTTGGTCAGTTTTCTCAAATACAAATTGCGATTATGATAATAAATTCCCTGTATTGAACGGCATGTTGCGCTTCTTAATCCTCAACTCTCCCAATTCATAGTTTCATGCCGAGCTAGTGTCATGGTAAATGACCAAAACTGTTGTTTCGGCGTTGTTCGTGGGAGGTCATGAAGTTTGTTTTGTCAATGTATATGTAAATCAACTTTTCAATTATGAATTATAGAAGGAACAGCCTCAAGGGTTAAATCCGAGATTGTATACCCGTCGAATCGACATAACATGCTTTTAGTCACATCGCTGTTGCCCATTAAAATTTCGGGATAACCCACATTACCCGTCTCTACCCCTAACTCCAAATTTTCGCCTTCCTTTTCTAGCCTGGAGATAGCTGTCCATGTGCACGCGGGCTCACTTGCAGAAAGGATCCATTTTCCAAAGATGAAGTTCACACTTGTGAGACAGTTGCGATACACCAGGAACCCTGGGGGATGTTTAAGGAAAAGATGTGACTCGCAGGAAAAGACATTTTGTTGCTTGCTTAAGATGAATATATAATTGCACAGTTTAATTCGTGTCTTTTAATTCATATCTTGCCTATATTAGGTATAGATAAATACATCAGTATACTAATTTATAAACAATGTAAATATAGAATAGCGTTAATATTTGTTAGAATCAGTTTTTTTAATGAAGAACTACTGAATGATGACAAGAGATAAATATCCATTGCTTTCACATAACTCATTTTGGGCACAGAAGAATTACCATAACTGAGTAAAAACATTATGGTTAAAATTGTCGTGACTCCAACTGTTAGACGGTTGCCTGTGTTTCGCTTGTCCATCCAGAAAGCTATTCAGCTCAGCATTACTAGGATGCCGGAAAGTAGTAGCCCACACAACGTTTGAATTCAAACGTGGCTGTTAAAACAGTGAAAATATTACCTAAAAAGAATGATAAATTAGTGGCTGTCTGTGTTGGGTTTGATTACTTTGCAGTGTGTATTTTTAGTGATTAAATAATTTCGCCTCAATCCCGTATAGAAACGAATTGCTCGGAAACTCACTTTTATGCAGAACTGACAACTAAAGTTAAAAATTATTATGTACTATTAAAAACACGAGCATGAGGAGTGCTTTTAATAACAGATATAAAACACGAGACAACAATCATTCAACAATATTGTTACACCCAATTCAGGCTCAACAATGTTGTTCAATATTGTTGATAAGTGTGAACAAAGAACAATATGGGCAGCACAACCATAGAGACACAACATTGTTCAATCATGTTAAACAGCGGGCTCATAATTTTTACGCGTGTAGTATCCGACCATCCGTTACTTTCGATATCTGTCGGTCCGCGGAAAACATTTTTCATTACCGTATGTTGACCTAAACAAAGCTATAAGTAAACCAAAAGCATAAAACATAATAAATATTTTCCATACATGACTTGGCGCACCACATTTTGAATATTAAGAGTTATAACCGCTGTTTGCGGTATCGAATACCGGTATAAAAATTACGGGAACCACTGAGTATTTTAATAAAATATAAAACAACGGTAACTCCGAAAATAGACATTTTAATAATATTCTAGCTTTCGACTAAGATTCAGTCATCATCAGGAATGATGCTAGGTTACATTACATCGATATATATATATATAGTGAAGATTAAGTAATTTGATATGTACAGAAACGATTAGTTAAATATTACAAGTTCTTTTGATGCCTTAGTTCCGTGATTAAG